GCAGTCTTTTTTTCTTTCTTAGTTCACATCCTCGAGGATTCAAAATGGAGAGTAGCGACGCTACGTCTGATCTGGAAACTCGAAATCCTGCTAGTAAGCACCTCCGGTGCATCAGTCTATACCCGATTTGACAGCTAGACTGACTTAACTGCTCCGTTATATATAACGCGACATCAACAATATCTGAAGTGTTCCGTTTCCGAAATAGATTCTTTTCCGATAACCTTCTTTTTAAGGTTCAAATACTTATGACAATATGATGATTAAATGCTAAACAATACATTATTTCCGAATACGCTTATCCCAAATTAAAGTAGAACTTGATCAGTTTCCTCATCTTTGGCTTTTGCGAGTACGTGCCGCATCAGACATCAAACACTGCCAATGCTCATATGGATTTCAAAAGTATAACGTATTGCGTATACTCGCAATAGTATTGCGTATATTTGCAAAAGTATTGCGTATATTTGCAAAAGTATTGCGTATATTTGCAAAAGTATTGCGTATATTTGCGTATATTCGCAAAAGTATTGCGTATATTTGCAAAAGTATTGCGTATATTTGCAAAAGTATTGCGTATATTTGCAAAAGTATTGCGTATATTCGCAATACGTATTGCGTATATTCGCTAAAGCATTGCGTATATTCGCAAAAGTATTGCGTATATTCGCTAAAGCATTGCGTATATTCGCAAAAGTATTGCGTATATTCGCAATATATATACTTTTTTAAAGATTTCATTTGGCACCAATGGGCTCCCGTATGTGTGATATCTGACATGACAGTGTTTTTCTGCAGACGTTATTCGCAATCTTTGGGTTTCATTACAATTTTACATGGTAAGGTCAGTGGTTTGCCCCGTACCGACGGATTATACACTCCGTACACACCGGTTCATTTCGAAAAATTAATCCGTACTAAACGTATTCTCGTAAAATTGTAATTCTTGAGAAATAGTTGAATTTTGATATGAGATGAAATGATCTTGACCTCCATATTTGCAAATGCTTTAGAAAACATTTGAAAGTGCACATTGTGTTACGCATCCTAATACACATTAGATGATAAAACAGTACCTGTATACAACAAGATCACGATATTTCTATAGAAAACCGTTTGATTAAATGCGGCACAGTGTGACTATCGTGTTGGTATGATTTCCGTTATTTTGGTAATGTGATATTTAAACATTTCTTTTTGGTAAGAAGTGTCTTAAAATATGTAAAAACTGACATCTTCAAATAATAATGTTTAAACTGGATCGCTCTGTACTATACCGATAGGGGTACCCAGTATGGGTGCGCATAATGAGCAACTTAATCATTTCAATCGGCCTGAAAAAAAGAAGACACCGGTTAAATTATTCCAAAGAAGTAAAATCATATAATACAGTAACGTTTTGTTTATAGATTTATCCACAGCTAGTTGTTTTTAAATTCAAATATAAATGAAAAAAATACTGATACTGTTAACAAAAGTGATTGGTTAACTATCAACCGTTACGTATATCCTAACGAAAGTCAGTAATTCAACAGCTCAGCCACAGTCAGGCCTGGCATGTTAAGTTGTTGGACAGTGGAGAGGGATGGCACCATGATGGAGAGTGGATGGTGTCTAAAATGTACAATCCCTCCTCGTTATGAATATGTACTGGAGTTTTAAGCGTGGAGACCTTGTGTCGTTTTATGACTCTAGACGACCTCCACGTTCCCTCCACACTGTCCAATAGCGGAGTAGCGGTGTAGTGTGGAGTCACGTTCCACCGTGGAGTGCTGGTGGGGGACTGAACGTGGAGTCACGGCGGCGGGCAAAATAAAATTTTAAAAAACCGCGAAATCGTGGGGATCGTATGCCTCCACGCGGTTTGTAGTGTATACCTATGTTATCTACAGATGCTATTTAATACTTTTGCGATCCCTTAGTAGGTATTGCGTAGCTTAGCTTGCCATAGTTTATCGCCGAGACAAGACAAGTTAATCAATGGTTCACCACTATTTCAGTGGCCATCAACCAGGGGGTTCACCATTCAATGAGCATGTGACCACTCAATGAGCCTGTGACCATTCAATGAGCCTGTGCCCACTCAATGAGCATGTGACCACTCAATGAGCCTGTGACCATTCGATGAGCCTGTGACCACTCAATGAGCCTGTGACCATTCAATGAGCATGTGACCACTCAATGAGCCTGTGATCACTCAATGAGCCTGTGACCACTCAATGAGCCTGAAACCATTTAATGAGCATGTGACCACTCAATGAGCCTGTGATCACTCAATGAGCCTGTGACCGCTCAATGAGCCTGTGACCACTCAATGAGCCTGTAACCATTCAATGAGCATGTGACCACTCAATGAGCCTGTCACCATTCAATGAGCCTGTGACCACTCAATGAGCCTGTGACCACTCAATGAGCATGTGACCACTCAATGAGCATGTGACCACTCAATGAGCCTGTGACCACTCAATGAGCCTGCAACCATTTAATGAGCATGTGACCACTCAATGAGCCTGTGACCATTCAATGAGCCTGTGACCATTCAATGAGCCTGTGACCACTCAATGAGCATGTGACCACTCAATGAGCCTGTGACCACTCAATGAGCCTGTGACCACTCAATGAGCCTGTGACCACTCAATGAGCCTGTGACCACTCAATGAGCCTGTGACCACTCAATGAGCATGTGACCACTCAATGAGCATGTGACCACTCAATGAGCCTGTGACCACTCAATGAGCCTGTGACCACTCAATGAGCCTGTGACCACTCAATGAGCCTGTGACCACTCAATGAGCATGTGACCACTCAATGAGCATGTGACCACTCAATGAGCATGTGACCACTCAATGAGCCTGTGACCACTCAATGAGCCTGTGACCACTCAATGAGCCTGTGACCACTCAATGAGCCTGTGACCACTCAATGAGCCTGTGACCACTCAATGAGCCTGTGACCACTCAATGAGCCTGTGACCACTCAATGAGCCTGTGACCACTCAATGAGCCTGTGACCACTCAATGAGCCTGTGACCACTCAATGAGCCTGTGACCACTCAATGAGCCTGTGACCACTCAATGAGCCTGTGACCACTCAATGAGCCTGTGACTTGAGGATTTATTGATACAACATCCTTCTACCATTATGTAATGGTAATGGATCTCAGCCCGAGGTAATGAAGCTAACGTTCCTGTAGCGAAAGACATCCTCAGTAAAGTTTCTGGGCCACCTACTGAAGTGTAAATGAGAGACAAGGTGGAAAGCTTTTGGTCTGTCAGTTTTATATACATACAGAAATGCTGAAAGGTTTCAATGCCGTAACTGCCATCTCGACCAATACCACAGACTGGACAAAAGGCTATATTAATGTCCAGCTTCACAGTAAGGTAACCAGCTGAACTACTACAACTGGCGGGGTAACATTTTACTGTCTACACCCCTGGTTATTCAGGACATTTATTGACAAGAGGTTAAGACGAAAACAGGCTGTTATCAGGAACGGGAGAGACTGTTCCCACCAAACAATGTCACCACATAACAGTACAGAACAGTGTCTGAAGTGGGTCTGAAGTGGGAAATTCTCTGTTTGTCAACTTCACGGATTTTCGGAAAGCGTCCAACAATAAACAGTTGCAAACTTGGTGGATAGAATAACAACATCGTCGGCAAAATTAAGGTATCGAGAAATAAGTGTTAACTCGATATCTCTTGGGTTATCCGCCATTGTCTTTCATATAATACAGGTGCCGGTGACCAGGAAAAGTTATACTTCAGACTCCACCCTGAACCATTCAGACTGTTAAGGAGGACGCTGCAGGCGATGACAATAGTTGTTGTAACTCCATAAAGGACCACTCTCCCACTCAAAAGAAACTGTAAAGTCCTGTACATCAGCATGTCCCAATTTTAGATGTGTTTTGGTTGCACTTGTCACTTTGAATGTTGAGTCATAGAGCATAAGGAAGAGAACAATGAGGCGAGATCGGGTTAATTAATGCTCATGGCGCATTTGTCAGACTTCTTCCGTCTCGAAAGTAGAACTTGTATAGTTTCAAAACAAAGATTCTGCTCTTCAACAAGGATGAAAGCTATGCTGTTCTGAATGCTGAAATATCACTTATCCCGAAAGAGATGTTTTCACAGGACGAGTCGTGCCGTCTGGCCAACAATCATCTCAACAAACATGGGGACTGGCCGTCACTGGTAAGTTGGTGACATCTGGTGAAAATGATATAGTTTCCTCACATCCTGAGAATGGAACAGCAAACCATTCCGATGAAGCGCTCAGAAGAGCAACGCCTGATAAAAAGAAACCTGTAGACAGCGAGTATTGAAATTATTAAAGGTCATTTCCTTACTAAAGAGAAGCTACATTCTGCCTTCGTTGAGTCCCATGAAGAGAGTAAGTAACATTCATGAAATCATATTTCATTTTGATAATTCTAACATTATCATTATGTAGCAGTTTGAAACAAGTACAACCAGTTAAACGTGGGTTGGTTTTCTGCCTTAAAGAGAGAGAAAAAACAAGTGAAAACAGAAAGAAAATAAGAAAATATTTTAATGTTCATGAAATATAAATCCAAATATAATATTGCATATGTATATAGAACCTATCACATCCTGTATAACAGCTTGAAATAAAAATTCAAATTGTAGACAAATCAGTAGTAACAGGGAGACATCACCAATTTCTAGATGAAAAAATGTAAAATGAAAAAATTATATATACCAAAACGACAGAGATTATTTTCTTTTAAATGCATATCATAATTAAGGTAAATGCAAAGCTCTAATTTGCAGTTTAAAATAAAAGTCTTTCCAATACTAAGGTTCGTTAATGAATAAATTTTATAGAACTAGATACTTTCTTTTGTGATTGTCAAGAAGGGAAGAAAAAATGAAGATATAAAAAAATAACTTCAGCAGTTCACGAATCCTTTTAGGAACAAAAAATCTACGTAAAAAAAACAAGTACAGAACCAGTAGTTGGCATGGTTAGACAATGATAGTATATCTCAACACAAATAATGGGAATGTAAGATTGTATTAGTGAACAAATATACATCTACTTATATACATTGTATACATATTGTGCAGTAAGAACAACATTTGATATGTATTTCTGAACAAGAGGCCCAATGGTCCAGTATCACTCACTTCCTCCTCCACAACGATAGAATGATTAGCTAACACAGACAGTCACGAGGAAACAGAGGGCAGATGTAGTGGAGTTTATCATTTGTATCAACCTTGGACCAATAATTTATAAGTTATTTTATTTTACAACTCATATAAACCTTTTGACCTTGAATATGAGACAAGGTCATTTATTTGAGCAAATTTGATAGCCCCTCACTACAGCAATCTACATTGTGGATATCTGAGTTAATTATACTAAGTAAGTAGTTGCTTGAAGATACTTTTACATCTGACCCCTATGAACTGGAATGTTGATCAAGGTCATATATTTGAATAAAGTTGATAACTCTTCACCCAAGTGAGCTACATGCCAAGTACATGACTCTGGATATTATGGTTTTTAAGAAGTTGTTTAAACGTTGATGATAGTTGGAGCCAGCACCACAGCATGACCTCACAGACACTTTGTCAGGCGATCTTTGTCAGGTGAACAGAAAGTGTTACAATATATTCCTGAGCCACACACGTTGGTTAACTGCTGTCCTAGCTTAATTTTGATACAATAATTGACCTAAAAATCCCCTCTGCTGCCATCCTTATGACAATGATAATTAGCTTAAATTGAGGATTATTTGTGGAGATATTCAAAAAGGTAATATTAATGACATCAAAAGCTCGAGACAATAGAATTTTTTTTTTTTTTTTTTTAAAATGAGTATATATCCCGTTTAACATTGATGACATTTATACTGTATCAGTAATACACATTCCATGTTACACCAATCACATCACAGGGCGTGGAAGGAGATTTATACTGTATCAGTAATACACATTCCATGTTACACCAATCACATCACAGGGTGTGGAAGGAGATTTATACTGTATCAGTGATACACATTCCATGTTACACTAATCACATCACAGGGTGTGGAAGGAGATTTTTACTGTATCAGTGATACACATTCTATGTTACACCAATCACATCACAGAGCGTGGAAGGAGATTTATACTGTATCAGTAATACACATTCCATGTTACACCAATCACATCACAGGGCGTGGAAGGAGATTTCTCTGACAGTATAAACACACAGTTACACAACTCAAGTACAAACCTTACATGTGATTAAGAGTAAAAACGTTAACTAGTCCGATATATTATGTGTCTTAACATTACATATTGGCTCTCACACAACTAAACATAAATGCATCTTCTGACATTAAGACACCACTCAATATTGCAGTTTATTTACGAGTACAAAACATGAAATAGTTCATATTTATTGAAATGTTAGAAAAATAAACACTCTCACCCACTTCCCTCGGTTCTGTTGCATTCACGGCGTTATTACAGGGAGCAACACGAACACATCATATATTGGTGTGATATTGAACACAAGTTACAGAGTCAATCTCAAGTTGAAATTCAGGCATTCCTCTTTACCAAATTTACCTGACATGAAAGACTTTTGAATTCAACTACTCCAAAGTTGATATTTTTATCATCAGGGGGAGGGCTCCTCGAAAGGTAAATCGCCTAGATCTAGCAGTACCCCTGGTAGTGGTTTATAGCGATCAGAGATCTAGCAGTACCCCTGGTAGTGATTAATAGTGATCAGAGATCTAGCAGTACCCCTGGTAGTGGTTTATAGCGATCAGAGATCTAGCAGTACCCCTGGTAGTGATTTATAGCGATCAGACATACTTCTACTGTCTGATTACTAACATAATACAGCTGTTCATTGTTTCTTCTTATAACTTATAGGAAACATTTAATCATTTTAATGATTTCTATATCATTAAGAGAGAAGACATCTAGAATGACTTTTGTCTTGTTAATATGCGTGTCTAATAACTGTTGAAACAAAAACGAATAATTCTCTATAAAACAAGAAAGTTGATTTTACCCTAGTCGCTCGCTATTACTTAATGATTTTTTTAACCCTGTATTATCTATTATAGTAAGGCACTCCTACTCTCCTAGCCGATCAGTGATTAAAACCTAGTTGCTAAGTCCAGTCATCTTGAACGTCCATGCCCAGTCGCAGGGCATCTTGTTGAACGGTATGGGTGGTATCTGTATGGATAGTCCGCCGGCCGAGCCGCGGGTATAGTTCAGGTTCCCTGGGTATCCCAGCAGACTGACCACAGTGGCTGATGTGGCCGTTGGAGCCCCTAGCTTGAGAACACCTGTATCTGGCCACTGGAGAGCCACAGCGTAGACGGCGGTGACATGGGGGAACTTCTTCATGGTGTACCTAGGGGAAATAACTCTAAAGTCAGACCATGTTCTACATAAAACGTCTTTCAGAGATAATGTACATGCAAGCTGTTTTTTTTTATAACACTAAGAAATGACAATTAAGAAACTAAAATATTAAAATGGAAAATTGATTTCTGCCTACAAGGTTATTTTAAAGGTGCATTATATATTACTGTATTGAGGGGTTTTTCACAGCTCTAGTATTTCGGTTTATTTTACTTACCAGACATCCGATGTGGCCGTGTCATTTTGGTGAGACCAAGGGCGAGTGCCATAGATCCCCTCCCCATTCACATTCAGCCATGACCCCATCTGTCGCAGTCTCTCCTCAAAGATTGGGGCAATCCTCCCATCATGGGTCGGGCCGATGTTCATCAACATGTTCCCTCCACAGCTGAAATAACAGATTAGGTGACAATAATTTGACAATATTTAACATAAACAAGAATTCCACGGAAGTGGATGTGTCGCCTGCGCAGGAAGCTGGGAGATTACGAAGAAATAGATACACTTTTCATTTCAAGAAATAATGTTAAAAGTAAGCAATAATCATAGATTATGTTTTTGGATGGCATCATTTTGTTATATAATCTGTTATTCTGGTAAAAATACTCTGAGTTTGAAGGAACTTGCTATGGATACTCATTGTCTCAATTCCAAGTTTAATTTGTATGATTTGTTAGATGATTTCCCATAAATAAATGAATAAACTTGTGGATTATGATGTTAAACAGCTAGTGTTGTCAATAACATTTGGAGTAAGACGGCATTTCAGAGTTATACACGGTGGGTCAAGTGGTAGATCGAAGCCGTCCAGTATACAGTTTTAGTGAAGTTTCTATTTATAGTAACAGTGACCTTGACCTTTGACCTTCGGACCTGAAAAGCAATCCCAAGCAAGCACTTTTGGTAAGGAAGCACTGCATGAAGTTTGAGTTTGATCGGCCCAAGGAAACTCAAGTTATCGCATGAAAACCTCTGTTCGGACGACGCTGACAAAGCAATACCTATGTGTCACCAGCTTTTCGCAGGCGACACAATAATGAAGAAGAAAATCCTTTGAATAACTTCTTGCTCTATTCATTTATAATTATGAGAAAAAATGTAAGGCCCAAATATTGTCATGAGTTAATTAATTTACCTGTGAACATGCTGTTAACTGTTTGCTAACTTACCTGACTGTCCCAACAAATGTCTTGAGGAGTTCCTCGATGGTCAGGAAGTCAGCAAGTCTTGCATTTCTACGGAAACCCCAGGAATACTTGTCAATTGTCATGGCATTTTCCCATTTATGCTTCTGTAAAACTCCTATCAAACATAAAAAACACCAAATATTACTATATTTATACGATCTGAATATCATAAGCTGGTGTGCCTTTCAAACAAGTCACTTAAACATTATTTTCATACAAGATCGATGTACATCAAAGGGTGTAAGTTTGTTTGTTTTTGACATCAAACATATTTTTTTTAAATTCCTAATTCTTTTCTAAGTATATGTAAATAAATGACATAGATTGATGTTAAATTCATATCCATATTTTTCTTAAAATTATCAGTACTTTTTTCTAATGATTCAGAATAAACAATAAGAAAATACTTTTCATTACCTGGGTTGAACCTGTCGCCACAGGTGTAAAATCCACCGTGATGACATGCGCATTTACTTCCCCACCGGTCATTAACAACCACAGTGTCCTTTACCGGACTGTAACATACATATATATCATCACCACTGGGCCACACACTGCTATTATACATACATATAGCTTTATACTAATACTGACTAAGCGTTGATACAGGTAGTGAAATACGTTATAGAGACATCAGCTATAGACTGTTGTTAACATTTGTCAAACCTAGGAAATATCTTGGAGATTATATTTTAGCAGACATATGCAAGCAAAAACAGATTTACAAAGTTTTAATATCTTTGTGAACAACTGATGCCAGCTGACATGGACCACATACCCTGATTGGACAAATATAGATCTATTCTTATATTTGCACTCTGAGTCTGTTACCATGGTATCATACTCTATATGTTCTATGGTTTCCACTTTTACAAATACAAATCTGGTCTTACATTTGTACTGCAGGACTAACACCATAATGTACACATATATTTCCTTTGCTGCAGTTTACACAATTAACTATTTTAGATTGAAAATTAAAGCTGAATCCTGAAATATTTTTATTTGGAACAATTGCATAAGCAAGGATAATTGAAAAATACAACAACTTATTAAACTGGCTGGAAAAGCAATGGTTCAACTCTGGTCACCTTGATCATTGAGATAAGTAGAGACTTCCTGCTGTGTTAAAGTAATCTCCCCTCCTCTATATTACATGAATCTGTTGTGTATAACTTCGAGACTACCCAGCCACATCATCAGGGATGGATTAAGAAGACAAGTTGAGAATTACACATCGCTATGAGAGGATGATCAAAATCATGTGATGTCGAGAAATCTTTGACAATGTAAAGCCAAACAGTGGTCAGTCAATCAAGTGTTAAACTTTCTGGTCTAACTGTTTCGAAAGTTAACATGTAATAAAATCTGTCAGTATTCTGTGCTGTACCTCTCATTGTAAAGCCAACTGAGGAATTTCTGGGACTGCCAGTACGTGTCTGGTCCAGCGTCACCGTCAGACCACAACACCTCGGGTTTGTAGGCCTGAACGATCTCGTACAGCTCAGGTAGGGTCTTACTCTGTAATGTTGACAAGGTACATGCTAATGTTTTATCATATACTACAAAGCAGTCATATATACATGGCGGTATATTTTCTCTTTAGTTTGGCTGAACTGTTAATCATTGCACTGCAAAGCAATCCATAGTCTCCCATCGGTATGATTTCTTTATTTACCGAGCTGAACACCTATCCCAGAATCAACCTACAGTAAAGAAGGTATCCCGATACAGTATAGGGCAAATGTTTCAAATGATTGCCTGTTAGCTACGTATGTCCTGCTCAAGCAAAAAGGAAGATTATAGAAAGGTCACCTCAGCTATACTGAACACTTCTACAGCTAGTCATAGTCCATAGGTGACACAGAATGAGCTGCTATAAAGTCATGCATACTCAAACCACTGCGGTACAACACAACACAAAATAATACAAACCACTGCGGTACAACACAACACAAAATAATACAAACCACTGCGGTACAACACAACACAAAATAATACAAACCACTGCGGTACAACACAACACAAAATAATACAAACCACTGCGGTACAACACAACACAAAATAATACAAACCACTGCGGTACAACACAACACAAAATAATACAAACCACTGCGGTACAACACAACACAAAATAATACAAACCACTGCGGTACAACACAACACAAAATAATACAAACCACTGCGGTACAACACAACACAAAATAATACATGCAGAGTTTGTTTTGAACACAAACTGTAATGGAAAAATTATTTTGCAAGCAGTGCAAATAACGAGTGTCTCAACTCTTAATCGCTTAAAACAACCAAGCAACAATGTGTCCAGCAAGTACAGTCAGCTGTTGGAAAATATCTAAACATTTCGTCCAAATAGCACTCCAATACTGCAGGAAGTCAGAGAGACATCTGTTAGCTAAGTATGATATGTTTGGTTTACTTGATTACCACGGAATGAAAGTTCCTTTGGGTACAACAATGATTAAGAAACTTTGTGTTAGTAGCTCCTCCAATCTAATTGTACAAGTAACCCAGATTTGCTTAAGTTGTCAGCTAGGTGTAAAAACTATCTACTGAGTAACATAAATCTCAGGGATTTTTTCCACAGAAGAGTGGGAAAAATCAAAGATCTGATTGATGCAGCAGGACTCCCAATCAATGTCTTAGTTTTCCATTCTATTTTAGGTATAAGTCAGCCAATCAGGTTACCAGTTAGTTGAACCATTACTCTTCCAATACTAATGGAACTCTCCTGTGTTCGGATGCCATGACAACCGTACCTTTCGTTGTAGAGCCATGAGAGATACTGTGTAGATTTCCAGTAGGTGTCCGGTGCCTCCCAGTCCCCGTCAGACCACACCACCTCTGGCTTATACTTCTCCACAATCTCAAACAACTCAGGAAGGTTCTTGTTCTGACAGGGCATAACATTCAACTCTTTAACTTATACCAGGAACCACTTATTTTCATTTTAGAACAGATTAATGGATTTGAAAACAACATGTGTTTCTTAACAATCATCTTTTGGAAGAAAAAAAATAAAAATTACATTGTTGAACTGATTTGATTTTCTATAACAAAAGAATATGTTAATATACATACTATATGTGAAATATATGATAACAGAACCTGGGTGAGGATATATACCACCAAAAGCATTCTAATATCTGAATTGTCATTTTATGACCACATTATTAGTATCAACCTAATAGTCTTAGGTTTGGGAGAGCTAACGTTGATAGGTATAGCAATCTATACCCGATGTAAACCAGGAAAAAAGGAAAAATAATTGAAGTTTTACAATAAAACCAAGATTTTGATACTGTTAACTGTCCTGACACATCAGAAACTAGCAGCATGTTGTCATCATGGTGTAGTGTGGATTTACGATTTGGTTCAGTGTATAAACTGTGATGCTGAAGAGTGTATTCTAGGATGAAGTGCTTGTTGTAGATTGGTGTGGATATCAAGAAAAATATAAAATGTTCTCTTACACAAAACGTAAGCATTGCACACATTCAAAGCTCAAAAAGCAGTGATATAATTGCATCACACATTAAATTTCTGAAAAGATTAAATAACAAAACTATCACAGATAAACAGTTCCATATGTTACTGTTGTTGATGAAGCTGACAATAAGGAATAAAACACTACAGCTAAATAGTAGTGTTGTGATTATTTCTTCTTAGTTTTGTATTTCTGTAATGATATGTTAAACGTTGGCGCATTAACAAAAGTGTGGATTACAATGACAGATATTGATCATATATCAATGTAGTGTAATACATATCCTACAACGATATTGATCATATATCAGTATAGTGTAATACATGTCCTACACAGATATTTATCATATATCAATGTAGTGTAATACATGTCCTACACAGATATTGATCATCTATCAATGTAGTGTAATACATATTCTACCCAGATATTGATGATATATCAACGTAGTGTAATACATATCCTACACAGATATTGATCATATATCAATGTAGTGTAATACATATTCTACCCAGATATTGATCATATATCAACGTAGTGTAATACATATCCTACACAGATATTGATCATATATCAGTGAAGTGTAATACATGTCCTACACAGATATTGATCATATATCAATGAAGTGTAATACATATTCTACCCAGATATGTATTACACTACATTGATATATGATAAATTTCTGTGTAGGATATGTATTACACTACACTGATATATGATCACTATCTGTGTAGGATATGTATTACACTACAACGATATATGATCAATATCGGTGTAGGACATGTGTTACACTACATTGATATATGATCAATATCTGTAGGATATGTATTACACTCCATTGATATATGATCAATATCTGTGTATGATATGTATTACACTACATTGATATATGATTAATTTCTGTGTAGGATATGTATTACACTACACTGATATATGATCACTATCTGTGTAGGATATGTATTACACTACGTTGATATATCATCAATATCTGGGTAGAATATGTATTACACTACATTGATATATTATCAATATCTGTGTACGATATGTATTACACTACATTGATATATGATCAAGATCTGTAGGATATGTATTACACTACATATCAATGTAGTGTAATACATATCCTACACAGATATTGATCATATATCAATGTAGTGTAATACATGTCCTACACCGATATTGATCATATATCATTGTAGTGTAATACATATCCTACCCAGATATTGATCATATATCAATGTAGTGTAATACATATCCTACAGATATTGATCATATCAATGTAGTGTAATACATATCCTACACATATATTGATCATATATCAATGTAGTGTAATACATATCCTACTCAGATATTGATCATATATCCATGTAGTGTAATACATATCATACACACATTTGTTTGTTTGGAACAGCTATTGCAACATACTACATTTATTACATTTTATATCAATGTAGTGTAATACTTATCCAACACAGATATTGATCATATAACAATGTAGTGTAATACATAACCTACACAGATATTGATCACATATCAATGTAGTGTAATATTGATCATATATCAATGAAGTGTAATACATATCCTACTCAGATATTGATCATATATCATTGTAGTGTAATACATATCCAACGCAGATATTGATCATATATCCGTGTAGTGTAATACATATCATACACAGATATTGATCATAAAGCAATGTAGTGTAATACATATACTACACAGATATTGATCATAAAGCAATGTAGTGTAATACATATTCTACCCAGATATTGATCATATATCAGTATAGTGTAATACATATCCTATACAGATATTGATCATATATCCGTGTAGTGTAATACATATCCGACACGCATATTGATCATATATCAATATAGTGTAATACATATCCTACTCAGATATTGATCATATATCCGTGTAGTGTAATACATATCATACACACATTTGTTTGTTTGGAACAGCTATTGCAACATACTACATTTATTACATTTTATATCAATGTAGTGTAATATTGATCATATATCAATTTAGTGTATTACATATCCTATACAGATATTGATCATATATAAATGTAGTGTAATACATATACTACACAGATATTGATCATAAAGCAATGTAGTGTAATACAAATCCTACACACAGTTGTTTGTTTGGAACAGATATGGCAACATACTACATTTATTACATTTCCACTCCCATGTAGTGTAATACATATCCGACACGCATATTGATCATATATCAATATAGTGTAATACATATCCTACTCAGATATTGATCATATATCCATGTAGTGTAATACATATCTTACACATATATTGATCATAGATCAATGTAGTGTAATACACATCCTACACAGATATTGATAATATATCAATGTAGTGTAATAGATATCCTACACAGATATTGAGCATATATCAATGTAGTGTAAAACATATCCTACACAGATATTAATGGTAGATCAATGTAGTGTAATACATATCTTACACATATATTGATCATATATCAACGTAGTGTAATACATATCCTACCCAGATATTGATCATATATCAATGTAGTGTAATACATATCCTACACACATTTGTTTGTTTGGAACAGATATTGCAACATACTACATTTATTACATTTCCACTCCCCTCCCCACCCTCGGGGTTATATCTACTTTTGCTTATTTTCTGGTGACATATATATTACTCATAATCAATTAAATGAACCATATACAAAGTACCAGTAGGTACAAAGAGCAATGGAGTTCCCACTATTCCTTCTCAACATTATTTCGGTAGGAAAGTAATTTTTATGCACATTTTTCAAGATCTAAGCTTGTACATTAAAATACAGCGATTCGAGAAAGTGGAAACACTTTTTTTCTGTTTCACAGGCCTAAATTATATTGCACCTTCTAGATTTGTGACTGTGGATTGCAGACAATGGACAATTTGCAAAAACTTCAATGTCTTCTAAAATGTTTGTGCTAAGATTTATTTCATGATACAAACTGCTTAGTTGTGATGTCAAATTATAACATTAGTGTAATGATCGATTCCACATTCATAATATACAAGATTTACCTACAATTTTGAAGTTTCTATTATATCTACTCAGAAATGATTTCGTAATGTCATCAATATCTCTATGATAGTAAAGTCACTTTACTTTATTACATGAACAGGAATCCAACATGGCAGCGATTCATTTTGGAAGACACCTTTCCATGATCCTTTAGAGTTTTCTAAATTGTTTGTTAAACATAAGCGTGCATAAATGTAAAAAAATACTTGTATACACAAAGGTAAGTGAGTGTGATTGTACTTACCTGTATACACAAAGGTAAGTGAGTGTGATTGTACTTACCTGTATAGATAAATAGATAGGTGCTTACCTGGACAAAGTTGTTGGTGCTGAAGTTGTTAGCCTTGTCTTGGAGGTAGAGAGGGTTAAACCATTCAAACATGGAGTGGTACAGACCAAACTTGATGTCAGTTTTGTCACGGATAGCGTTAGCTAGCTCACCTGTACAACATTACCAATAACCACAGTCTGGAAACTGATTCACCGTAAGCATAAGTAAAGAGAGATCTCAGTCCTTGTTAATAATTACAGTTTTAACAAGTCTTCTTATTAAACCTTTGGTCTCTAGACTATCTATAATGTTTAATTATCTATGCAAAATCATCAATATAGGTGATACTTCACTTGTGTAATCTCTTATTACTACCTACTACAGGCTACTAGTATACTGAAGAGACCCAACAAACTCAAACTTATGCACACTGAACTTTTTTAATATAATCCACAACCATTATATAATTCAAATTTACCATGTACCTGGCATATATATCTTTGTTCAGCAAGTGCATATCATATGTCCTGTTTACTGGATCAAAAATCAATGTTAGATGAAGCATATGCTATTGTGTTCAGTTACTCTAGATGAAGCATATGCTATTGTGTTCAGTAACTCTAGATGAAGCATATGCTATTGTGTTCAGTAACTCTAGATGAAGCATATGCTATTGTGTTCAGTAACTCTAGAAGAAGCATATGCTATTGTGTTCAGTAACTCTAGAACTGAACTCCAAACTTACCGACGAGGTCCCTGTTTGGTCCGGTGGCATTGGAGTTCCAGTTGAAGGAATATTTGGAAGGCCAGTTAGTGAATCCCTCGTGGTGTTTACTTGTCAGTACCACATACCTAAAACAAACAATTAACACACATGTAACATATGTTTTAATACATATATCCTTACACATATGTACCAGTATATACCTAAAACAAACAATTAACACACATGTAACATATGTTTTAATACATATATCTTTACACATATGTACCGGTATATACCTAATGCAAACAACTAACACACATGTAACATATGTTTTAATACATATATCCTTACACATATGTACCGGTATATACCTAATACACATTGACACACATGTAACATATGTTTTAATACATATATCCTTACACAGTGACACATATAGATACCTTACAGCAACAGATTTGAACATTCCACTTTTCGTATCAATCTAGTTGCACTTTACTACCGAATTACATTTAACATTTTAGGAAGAAGTACTGCTGGCCTTTGTGCACAAAAAGATTGCATTGATTTACAGATTAAAAAGATAAATTCCAAACATCCTTATATTAATTTACAGTCGATGCTACTGCAAATTATGTTAAAATGTTACGCCTGAAAATAAATTTATACAATTGTACATATGTGGCAAATTTCTAAACAAGAACATCAGATCAAAACGTGAATAGTGCAAAACTTTAAAGAAGAAGAGACCAGCTACTCTTCACACGTAAAAGGTATACATTTAATTAACTCCTGCTTTGTTGGGACAATAATATATTAATGTAAAAGCTACATTACAATGTAGTTTATAATAATAATGAAGGAAGAAAGAATAGCTGGTGCCAAGAGGTCAGGTACTGTTCACGTATATACATTCAGTATGGTTATAACAGGGGGCGTGTCAACAGCCAAACTGCATGTGTTGTTTCAGATTGAGGCGCAGGTGTTTGAAATTCTGACTGTAAATTGAGATATATATCATAAAAAATAAGGATATAAGAGTAATACCCTTATTTTTATGATATATATATCTAAATTTACAGTCAGAATTCCAAACACCTGTGCAGGTACAACTACATAAATATGTACTTTCGTTTAAAATCTTCTGTGCTGTAACGTTATACCTTGCACCAGACGCTTTGAATATTTCTGCCCATTCTTCTGGTACAAAGAACTCGGTGGTAAACATTGAAGCAAAGTCAGCGTATGTGAAGTCGGGTCTGAAATTCTCTTCCATAAATTCGACCACGCCGGGAAGACTCATGCCTTTCCAATTCCACCAAAACCATTCCGACGAAAAACTCGGCACCGAGAATACACCCCAGTGGATGAAGATTCCAAGTTTTACGTCATCATACCAGCCAGGAATAGGCCTGGTGTCAAGCGACTCCCATGTCGGCTGGTACTTCGTACAAGCAGACAATGAAAACAAAGCCAACACAATGAACACAAACAACTTACTATCCGCCATGTTGTTTGGGCTAGAGATCACATGATCCAAGTCATTGGATCGCATTAATGAGGAAGCTTCACGCACTTGACTTTTTTAGTCGCAATCTTTATATTTTTCGGGGGGGGGGGGGGGGGGGGGGGGAGGAGAAAAGAACAAGTTAAAAGCTAAAACATATTTTTTATCCTAGAAAATGTTAAAGATTTCAAAGGGTATTTTACACAAACGATTATACAGCATTGCATAGAATATGTATCTTACAGTTACATCTCAAGATATGGTACCAACGCAGTGGCGGATCCAGAGGGGTTTTTTTGGCTTCAGGAAACCCCCCCACCCTGAGAATTTTCTTTAAAAATCATATATTTTCACCATTTTCCTCAATTTTTTCCAACATGGGGGGCAACATGGAAACCCCCCCAGGAAATTTGGACCCCCCCCC